ACTTGGCGCCACAATTGTTGATATCAAATCTTTTATACAGATGATACATATATCATTAGATTTAATAAGAACATTAACAGAATTTAACTTGGCGCCACAATTGTTGATATCAAATCTTTTATACAGATGATACATATATCATTAGATTTAGTAAATTTTGTGATAGAATGATTTTCATGTAATAATTTTTGAAGGGGAATAAAGCCATTATAACTTGGGTTGGAATGTATCATATACAAAAAATTTCATCAAACAGCAAACGCAATTAGTCATCAGTTCCACGGCCGATTAAATAATTGACGTTGGTGAAACCGGCCCAAATGGTGGTTTCCATTCGAGAAGCATGCACGCTTAGCGCTTTTTTTACCTTTTTTTTAAAAAGGTAAAATAGATTTTAATTAAATAATGTACTGATAGGCGAGTTTGAGCGCGAAGATAGAACGGAGCTATAGAGAAGTATATACTATATACGTATACATATTTATATTCTTATACAACTGCAGTCATGTGAATAATAATGAATAATTAATAGACTTTTTTCTTTGCCATTAATTACTAATAGTAACCGCAACTCGAGATTGTAATGAATATTTTAGAATTTATTAATATAGAATAACGGAATATTATTACATTTACAATTCTGCTTTCTGTATATTTTTAAATTTTATTTTTTATATTATCCTATACAATTTTTTAGTTTGATCAGCAAAATCGTCTTTTATTCGAAAAAAATTTTCTTTTTTTAATTGCAATTATTATCAGCCAAAAAGTAATTCGAAAATGAAATGTTTAGAAATCTCCATTATTCGATAAATGTGACAAAACATGATAGGAAAGAGAACGAGCGGTCAGTAAATTTTAAGAAATTAGTAAACGAGAATGGGAGAATCCATTTAATTGCAATTTATCGATAATCGTGTGCAGTCATAGCTGCAATAATCTGATTGTAAATAATGAAGGTTAATTACTGAATTCCGATATCGGTAACACGCTAGCTAATTCTGAACAGGTGGTTGTAGTAGAGGTGTGTGCGGTTGTATTGCTCGTCATAATGCGGATACGTTATGCGTACAACACGGACGTACAGATGCGCGCATGCCGCACGCAGTAGATGGGATTCCATTATATGTGGTTACATCGTGAATCACTATCCGACCTGAATTAATCCGACGATTGACATATGTTTCGCGTCTTATCTACTCGCTAGATTTTGCGAATTATCAGATATACATCACTGTCAATCACATGCATGAACTGTCTGCTCATCTGCGATAAACTTTGTTCTATTTAATACACGATGTATGGATAGTTATTTTTGCTTCAATTTTGAAATATGTTACATTTGACAATTTAATTTTTCACACATATCTGGTGAATGAAGCTATTACAATAAAATCAATTTTTTTGATAATATTTCAAGTTAAATAACATTCAGAAAAAAAGACAGTAGTAGCAACTGTAAAAGTGACAGTTATACAAGTTTTATGTGCAAAATTATTATATATTATATATTATAAACTAATGTACATACATATAGCTGAATAAATTATTTTATAATTACAATAATTATAAAATAGTTTATTTAATTATGTGTGTGTATGTATACATTGATTCTACATGTAAAACTTACATAATCATCACCTTACAGTTGACCATCTCGTCTTTTTTCTAAGGAAATAAGTGAGATTTTAATACTATTTGCACTAAAGAACGAAAGATTCTTTATCACTGACGTTTTGTGCTGAACGTATTTCTTTTGAACGTGTTTCTCTCAAAAGGTTTGGATATACGGGAACCTTTGGTGCTCCGTGTGGCTTGCGGTCGACGTTTGGATGTGTACGGCATCGATATTGAATTTATGCGCCATCAGCTTGGATAGGTACTTGGCTGTGACCAGACCAGTCAGTTATCCTCAGGCAAGTACCACTCAGCATTCATGAGAATGATTATCCCAAGGAGATCAGAAGCGCGTTACGCGTCAATTTCGCCACTTGGTTCAACGCGTTTGTTCAATGATAATATTCCTTGTTGATCAAGGACGATTACACACAAAATGACATAAGCTGCATAACCATAGCATAAGGCCGCTATGGTTATGCAGCTTATGTCATTTTGTGTGTAATCGTCCTAATAAAACCGTCCGCAATAAACATCTAACATAAAGATGCCATGTTGATTTACATGAGATGCTCATTGGTCTAGGAGCCTTATTGGTCTAGGAGCTATGGTTATGCAGCTTATATAATTTTGTGTGTGATGGCCCTAACACTGCGAAAATAAAAGACACAGTGAAATGAAATGAAAAAGAAGTAGAGTTAACTTCTGTAAGCTAACAATAAAATCTTAGAATAAAGGTCAGGACAGATCTTTGCATAACGCATAATTCATAAAGCATAAGAAAATCAACCAATCAAAGTTTTTATTTCATGGAAAGAAAGGAAATAAAGAACTTAGGTTGATTCGTTTTCTTATGCATTATGCGTTATGCGTTATGCAAGACTCTGTGCTTCCGTCCTTACTTTCAAATTTTTATATTTACTATTCGAAGTATTTTATTCGCAATATTCAATTTTGGATGCATTGATTTTTCGTATTTTAGAAAATTGAACTAATAATAAAATGAGAAATATAAACTTGTGCGCATCGAAAAATAAAGAGAACAAACATAGTGAAGGAATGTGAATTTCCTCTTCAAAAGGGGGACTGTAATATATCGACTAATTGCATTAACTTATCTATGCAATTATCGCGTTCCTGACGTGTATTTCTTCGTTAATTGCCTCTTTTTTTCTCCGTTTCCATAAATTCAGCTTATGTCGACGAAGAGGGCTAGACTGCTGGTGGCCACCGTTTGGATTTCAAGCTTCGTTATCTGTTTTCCGCCTCTAGTGGGCTGGAAGGACAAACGGGTGCGTACTAGCCACAGCTAATCCGCCTTCGCGCTGTTATTTCGGGGCAATTTTCAATCGACGTCCGATCGACCCTGGCCGTATTTAGTCTGCACACGTTTTTAATCGCTTCTCTGTTCTCGTAGTCGCACACCACGTACAATGACACGTTTCCTCTATATGGCCCGTCCAACACCACCACTATACTCGTGCCGATGAAGCCATGCCCATGGATCTGCGAACTGACCAACGACGCCGGCTACGTCGTTTACAGGTAAGTCCCCCAAAGACCCTTGGCTCCTCATTATATACGTATTGGATTATGTCGCGTAATATTAATAGCGAGAAATTTATACACAGATATTTTTTTCTTTACATTATATACCGAGATATATTAGCTTTTCATTATCCGGCTAAATACCAGAGTGTCATAAAAATGGCAAAATGTGTCAGGAAAAATTCTTTTAATGTCTTTCCTGCATTAAAGAGACGTTATTCAATTTATCGGCGTAAAATTAATTTGTTTTAACATACGTTGTAGGATCAAATAATAGAATAAAAATCGTGCCTTAAATGACATCTTTTTATTTAGATGTATAAAAAATATATGTATGTATAACAATATGTATATAATAACAAAATTTATATAAAATATACATATATATAACAAAATATATATTGTATAACAAAATTTACGCAATTAAATTTTCATATAATACATATATTAATACCTAACGTGTATTAAAATCTGAAAATTTACGTAAAATTGCAATAATTTCGAAGACAACAATTTCGCCAATTAAAGACCTTAATTTTGAAGCAGACATATAATTGACATTTTCACAAAATAGAAACATTCTCTTTTTTGTATGAATCACTCCTGACATTTTACCTCTGTTTTAAAAATGGATAAGCCACTCGAGAAATCACAGAATTATATTATAACAACAATATTATACATACAACATTAGTTCTAAATTAAATCTGAAATAATTAAATAAAACTCTATACAAGGGCAATGAGTCTAGCACGTTGTTCGATTGCGACAATCTAATTTATTTATTCAAATCAAATTATAAATAAATTTCATACGTTTCGATTTTCATTGAGCTGTTCTGTGTATAGAGTTTTATTTAATTATTTATTTGTTCGAGTCTTAAAGGAGACTTTGTTAATTTTTAAACCTGAAATTTTATAGACTATTAGACTACCAATAGTAACAGTTTTAAATTAAAATATATAAAATTTTCTAGCTTGCTAAGCAAAAATTAAAAGTAAATAGGAAAGTAAAAAGAAAAAGAGGTAAAAAAACAAATAAGAGTTTTACCTCTGTCGCCGTATTATATACATCAATCAAAATTTGTTATCTATATACGCACCATATGATACCGATCAAAAAGCTAATATATTATATAAATGACTGATACGTTTTAAGTGCTTGCCAGTGTTTCTCGATTAGATCATCTTGTCCATTATTAAAACCAATAGCTAAATTAATATTCGTGATATAGTCTGATCTCTCTCTGTGTGCGTGCGTGCGTGTGTGTGTTAAACTGCACGAGCTGACTACGCGTAAAAGTGTCCGATCTGTTATCGCGAAATGGGGAACTACGATTATCAGCAGTGTGACAGGAAATCACAATTGCAATTGTGTTGCAGCGCCCTAGGCTCCTTCTATATACCGATGTTGGTGATGCTATTTTTTTATTGGCGGATCTACAACGCCGCAGTTTCCACGACGAGAGCTATCAATCAAGGTTTTCGGACAACAAAAGCCTCGAAAATGCTTGGCAGCAGGTAAACTTCCGCGTCAGTTTTTTTTCCGAAACTTCCGTTTACTTGACTAGTAAATTAATTTTTTATAGTTCTGTAATTCATTTTTATCACATTTTATCATTTTTATCACGGTTTGTTTACAAACTGTGTCGATGTTATCTTTCTTTGTATTTATTTTCTTACATAACATTTGTGTTACTTTCTAACATATTCATCTTGTGTAAAATTAACTCAAAAATTTGAGTGAACCATTTGAGACATGCGATTTATGTTAAATTCAACACATTTTTTTCAACTGTGTATCAATTATCTTTTTAAGCATTCATAGTTTTAGAAAGTTTATATTAAATTTAACATTTTTCACATGTCTCAAATAGTCCATCCAAATGGTTTTTGTGTTACGCAATTTAACACAAGATAAATATGTTAAAACACAAACATTATGTAAAAATTAAAAAATACAACTTACAAGGGGAGCACCAGACATTGTCCCTTCCGATTGAGTTGAACTTTATATATGTTATAAATCTGTCCTCCCACTAATTCATCTTAAAGTAATAGGACCCGCCTCTCAAGCGTTCGCGAGAAAATCGCGTTTAAAGATTTACGTGTGCGTAATGTACCGTGTAATAAGAAGAGATCGACACCGTCATTCAATGTGCTCATTGTAAAACAATATTATGTTTTGTATGTTTTTACGATGAATATCATCCCAAAACATGTAACTCATCATACAATCAGTCCTCGTAACGTGCTATTGCGTGTGGTGTATGTTTTTAAATATTTAGCCTATAAAATAACTGTTTTAATTATACAATTAATTATATTTCAGATATTATGAAATTCATCTATTTATTAATGGTTGTAAGGTTTTCTTTTGTGAATATAATTTATGTAATTTCAGAATGAGTTAATAAGATATTTCAGAATACATAATGAAAGGAAAGTAAGGAAGAAAATAAAAAAGTCAATCTTCTATAACATTATTCATAAGATTTTAATAAGCAAATTTGTAATAAACATATATTTCAGTAATTGTAAGCTATTATTTGCTAATCTTCGGAATAAGACTGATTGTATGATGAGTTACATGTTTTGGGATGATATTCATCGTAAAAACATACAAAACATAATATTGTTTTACAATGAGCACATTGAATGACGGTGTCGATCTCTTCTTATTACACGGTACATTACGCACACGTAAATCTTTAAACGCGATTTTCTCGCGAACGCTTGAGAGGCGGGTCCTATTACTTTAAGATGAATTAGTGAGAGGACAGATTTATAACATATATAAAGTTCAACTCAATCGGAGGGGACAATGTCTGGTGCTCCCCTTGTTAGACACAATGTGGAACAAATTATGGAAATATTTTTTACTTTAGTAAAATTATATTTATACATGTTACTTTTTTAAAAAATTAATACGTACATTCATCTTTTATTTATTTATCTTAGAATTTATGCTTTAAAATTATATAATTTTTTATTATTTGTCCACTTACTCGTAAATCGTATTATTTTAAGAAATATTAAACATTAATTTAACACTGATATGTTAAAAATTTAATATAAAAATTTTTATAAGGACCAGTTTTAACAAGTATAAAAATGGTTTTTACTGTGTATCTTATCAGACGCTACCAATATAATTTTTTAATATTATATATAAAACAAATCATCATCTTTTATTGTCATTCCCTTTTAATGAAATGGCACTGCAAATAAAATTTCCTACATTCAAATATTTTTTCCACTCTTTGTTCTCTCGAGTCGTCGTTTCATTTGCGGGTCTGCGCTTGAGCTTCTTCTCCACGAGAGAAAGGAAGTCTTTTTATAGAAGCTTCATGCTGCCAACAGGCATAAATGCCCATACAAGCACACAACGCATTTTCCTATTTTTATGCAGGTTTGATGAACAAAGACTGACCTTACGAATACACCGTGGCCGAGGTAGCGTCCACAACGGCAGTAACAACGGCAACTCGAGAAGTCCAGACTCGAGCAGCCGCAGCTCCGTGAAGCGGGAAAAGATCAAGATCTCAGTCTCCTATCCCAGCACCGAGACGCTCAACACGAAGTGCAACACCCTCGAAAGGACACCGTCGAGATGTTCGCAAATCTCAGTCCATTACAGCAACGGGCAGACGCAGACGCAGCTTTGTCCGACCTCGCGAAACACGCATCTTAAGGTGAATTAGATCTTATAAGTTCCATTTACATGATCTATCTGAGGATGTATTGTATTTAACTGCTTCAAATGCACGAATCCCTTTTTAATTTTCCGATCTTGTTCCATATTTTAAGAAACGGTGTTTACTCCTTCAAGATTACATCATTAACGTATAATTTTATCATTTCTATATCACAGAAACTATTTCGAAAGAACTATATTAAAGATTTATATATTTTTTTATTGCTGTATAATTATAATATAATAACATGAAGTTTGATCGAGAGATGGAATCTACAGCTCTCCGTTGGAAGTGATGTTGGACATGCGTAAATTTCACGTTCCAGCATCACATTCTTGGTGACATGTTGTCGCTGCAATTTTAAGTGCATACGCTTTTTATTGGTGACTAATCGACAGCATTTTGCAAAATGAAACGAATCAAGGATCACTTTTTCGTTCAATAAAACCGAGGCACTCGTTCGATCGAACGGGGCTATCGAGCCGTATAAATTCACTCTTTTTCCTCTTTTCCCTCGCTCTGTTTTGTTTCACAAGGATCTCCGAGCTTTTATTTGCCGTTTAAATCGTCGATCGTGATTTTTCTCCCGCATGTGAGTCGGTATCGTGCGGATTTACAGACGGATAAAACGAAGCAGGATATGGACATGTACCTGTTTTGTTGATGGCTTTCATGTCATGCGTAATCGTTGGTATCGATAAATATATATATATATATATATATGAACATATATTATATATTCAAGAAAGAAATAAAGAGAAATATATTCGCTTCTATTTTGACAGACGTGGATAACTTATCAGAGATATTATGCTATTTTTATAGACAAGCATGAACTAAATTTCCCTTTGGAATTCTAATGTATTGTCGAAAATAAAGATGTGCAAACAATCAGAATAAAATAATGACTAGAATGTCTCCGTGCTTGCATCGAAGTATGAATAATTAAATTTCAATTTCTGGAAGAGAAAACGGAAAGAATGGTTTTGTTAAAGTATTTATAAATTTAGCTAGATACAAATCTGAAAATAATTTCATTAGACCATCAAAATAATTATGTAGGACGCACAAGTCGGTTGCTACACTGTTAAATTCATAATCTCAACTTAAATCCAATTTGAGTTGTTGTTAATTATTTCTATAGATCGCCACTCCTACTCAATATGTCGTTAATTTAACTGAAATAGTAGAGTTAAACAATTTAACTCAAAGAATTGTAGATATTAAATTTGACTCAAAATTTTGTTTATTGTTTATTAAATTCATACGTTAATATGGATGTTGTTTATTTTGAAACTAACCGAAAAAAATGGATTGATTTACATGTTGACATAAATTGAAGATAAAAAAAATAACAAAATATCATTTAATTCTAGACATTATCATTGTTGCTTTGATATTTAACAATACAAAAGATCAAAACTTTTTAGAGTACTGTCTATTATACTTATACATCCTACATATTTATTTTGATAATCGAATAAAAAACAAGTAATAATCGCAGGCTCAGGAGATTAAATCTAATGATCTATACAGGGTATATCTAAAATAACGTACACTAATCATACAGTGCTATTCCTAATAAAAAATTAAGTCGAAAAGTCCTTTAGCATTTTGCAATTTTCGCAATAGTTAACAAGATATTAATTACAAAAAATCGCTGAATATTGGTTTTCAATAATTTTTATTGTACAGTTATCCATTTCGTGTTTTCGTCCGTAAGAAAGTGCGAAATATTGAATTTTTAGCCCAATATGATCGCGTATCGCTATAGCGAGTCTGACAACAGTCTGAATGTTGCTCGCGTTTGTCATGAAAGTTTTACGGCGTCTGTAAATCTCGTGCGAAAGTGAATCTGTATTTTATAGGCGCACGTGATGTTTGCGTGAGTGTATGCGTGTGTCGGAGTCGTAAAGGCCGACTTGTTAAATCCCCTTTCAGGTCGGTGGTGTCAATAGGGTCGGCAGCAGCAAAAGAACAAGCAGGCGGAGCAGCTGCGAGAGTCAGGTGACCGGCGACGAGTTGTCGCTGCGCGAGATGACGCCGAGCAACGAGGAGAAGCCGCGAGTGATGAAGCTGGGCAAGAGAAACATAAAAGCCCAAGTGCGTTTCTCATGTCGGCTCGTTTTTATCGCTTTCACACTTTGGCTATCAGACCTATTTTTCAAATGTTTCATAAAAACGAACGAGCAACATACGATAGTTTCGTAAGACTTCATACGATGGAAATTCATTTTTATCTCAGTTGGCATAGTGATAATTAGTCGATTACTGTCGGAATTAATTTGTACTATAGATTTAATGATCAAAATATGAATGCATATTATAAAAGAGATAACATACTGTTTGTTGTGTGTGAAAGCAGAGGAATGTCAAGTTAATATCTTTCTCACTGTTAAATATTAAAAGATCGAATTTAAACTAATTTCTTAAGTTAAATAGCATTTTGAACTCTCAAAGTGTGTAAAATATATGATTTTAATACAAAATATACGGTTAAAAAAACAATCATATATAATAATCCATTTCTATGGTTGAATTGTTTAGTTTCAAAATAAACGGTGATCATATTAATGCATGCATTAGTAAATGCATGCGTGCAAATAATAAACTAAATTTGAATCAAATTTAATAAATTTCTTAAATTAAGTTGTTTAAGTTATCTTTTAGTTTTAGTTAAATTAAGAATGTATTAAGTAGGAGTAGTGGCGGCCTATAAGAATTATTAAAAATGATTCAAATTGGGTATAATTTGACATTATATAATTTGATTGAATTTAAGTGCACTTTGTTAAAAGTAAATATTAATTTTAAGTTAATATTAATTTTATTATGATACGCATTCATGTTTTAACAAAGTAAAGGATATTTAAAATATGTCGGTTGCCTTGATGTTTGAGACAAAATTATACGCAGGTGAAGAGATTTCGCATGGAAACGAAGGCGGCGAAGACCCTGGGTATCATCGTCGGCGGCTTCATCTTGTGCTGGCTGCCTTTCTTCACCATGTATCTGGTGCGCGCGTTCTGCCCGAATCACATCCATCCAACCGTCTTCAGCGTACTGTTTTGGCTAGGATACTGCAATTCCGCGATAAATCCGTGTATCTATGCCCTCTTCAGCAGGGACTTCCGCTTCGCTTTCAAAAGAATCATCTGCTGCAAGTGCTCCTGCATACAACGCGCCAACACCTTGCGACGTGGCAGTGACGGCAGTCAATTGGCAATGAGGTCAGTGTTACAATTTGTATTACAAAGTGGAATCGCATTCTGCGATTTATTTTTGCAAGCACACATAGGAAACATTTAAATTGGAATTGCGATTTGTATGACAAAATGCGTGAAACGGCAATGCATTCTATTTTTACGCGAATTTTGCCTCATAAAAGAGAGGAAGTTTAAAAGAATTAATCATTTCGTCTATGTTTTAAATTTAAGATTTAAATTTAGAAAATCTTATTATATATCAGTATTATGGCGTATCTATCCGATTATCATCGGTATCTGTTGAATTTAAACGCAAAAGAAGCTTTAGAAATACGGTGCACATAAAAGAAAATCCTTAAATTTCATCACATTTTATGTATCATAAACGACGGTATATATCATCAAGTTCTATATGGCGACCAAATGTTTTCATGAATGTATTTTCCCTGGATTATAAAATGCGCGATAAATTCGGTGATTCGGTTCTAAAATAACCAATCTTGATTAAATCGAGTTGAAGAGACTATGCTTTCTGAATATTTTATAAATTTTAAACTCTAATTAGTTCGAGAGAGGATATTGCCGTTTTGTAAGAAATCCACAGAATGATATTCACACCGGTGCAGTGCTCATGGTATGTCTCACGGGAACGATTCTGCGTGTGTTCTCGTAGGAACGAACGAAGCCCGAGTTATTCGATTCGCACGGCTCAGCACGGGACCTCCATCGACGACTCGGATCCGGATCCGTCATTGGAGGCGAGCCATTCGCAGAGTGAGTCCAGATGATTGTAGCGACACGTCCGAGCTGGTACGCAGCGCGTCACCTTCAATCCCCGATCCTCGAAAGCGAGGATATTCTCATTCTGATGACGGCGGTGCTCCGAGAGCCACGCTCGACACGTCCTCGCGGCCCTCTGCACGTCATGACGACGATGAGTCGCGGCCACTTCGACGCTTAAGTGTGCCAACGTAAATCAGTTTCTCCATTCTGCCAGACTAATGTTGCGTCAGCAGTTCCCGTAAATTAGAACACTCGGGTGAAGCTGGAAACTCCCGAACTCTATCTCCGTCTCACCGTGAATGTACGAAATCGGTAGGCGAGTAACAGTCAGATAACAAGCGACAAGTAAGACGGGATGAGTAACGTGCCACTTGCTTAACTTGTCTCGTTATTCTATCGTCGAAAAGAAAAAGCCGATGCTTAGTTTGTCTACGTAATCTTGTTACAATGGCGGTTTTACGCCAGGTCAACAGGGATGTAATACTCGGGTAGTTTTTTGAGTGAGGTGAGCAAATAATTTGCTGTTTGATCTGCTCCCTTGCTAAATCGCGTGATCTCGTAAGAGTTTACGCAAAGTCAGCAGAGGGGTAAGTCAAGTAGAAGATTGCTTTCCTCGCTTTTTTGTCATCTACCGTTGGAAGGAAAGGAAAAACAAAGAAAAAGAAAAGTAAGGTAGATGCCGTGCGATTTGCCTTTGCACTGTAATTGTGGCGAGGTGCTAGGAAACGGAGTGCCAGGTGGAGCTTTGCGATACGCGTCTACGCGGAATTGGATTTCAGCGCGATAGACCCAGAACGCGGCGCTTTTCATCTGCAAAAAGCGAAAGAAAAAGAAGAAAAGGAAAAATCGATTTCCCTACGCGGATCTTGTAGGAACGCGCTTCCTCGCGATAATCGTCGCAACGCTACGCTTCGATTTGTACTTTTGGGCTACGCGAGAAGCTTCGCACGGTTTGTCCCTCATAAACGACCGTCTTCTTGCGTCCGGTAGGTACGCAATAAATTATCCGACATAGTTATGATGAATTCGGTCATTCGCACTGGTTATAGTGCATATTTAAAAAAAGACTGCTTTATATAAAGTATCTAAATGCATTGGCATTTAATATAATCAACTTTGATAATGAGATAATACGTGTATATTCTGTTAAATAACGTAATATGATTATTGGATATTTAATTGTTTAAAATGATGTACAGCAGCTTTTAGTGTGCATTAATCTAGTGTAATGCAAATGACCGAATTTGCTATTAGTGTATACGTTACGTGTGCCCCGCGCAGATCACCGGAGGATGATCGGTCGTTTACTATACCCGGAGATGATAATCTCGAATAATTTCGAATAATATGTACGCAATCGGTGTGCCTTCTTTCGTCATTCCCTTAGTAGAGTGCACCGTTTTCGCGACGAGAGAAAGTTATCCGCTCTCTATTCTTCTAAACGCACAGAGTCATTTTGCAATGTTATTTATTTGTTTCGATATACGTTATCGCGCAAGCGAATTACACGTCGTGT